TGTTTCTACAACAAAATGTCTGAAGCCGGATGACTTTACAAAGGAAGGACAATTTAGTTCACAAAGTCTAAGCATGCAGCCATGAATGTGTCTTTGCTGAGGGCCTCCATATGGAAGAGAGAAAAGACACAGCACATTTGGGCTAAACACATAGCCTTGCTGTGTAAGTGTCCACTCTCTTTGCGATTAATTATGCTAGTCAGCCTTCCATCCTGTGAAAAATGCATAAGAAAATCAGTTTTAAAAAGGGAAGGCTTGTTTGGACTCAGTTCCAGAGATCTGAGGCCAGGATCCCTTGGCTATCACTTTGGACATGAGGCAAGACAGAACATTATGGTGGGGTCATCATGGTGAGACAAGCTGCTGAGATCCTGGGGGCTAAGAAACCAAGGAGAGAAGGGTTTGGGGCCACCACACGGGGCATAGTTCCCCCAACTAGGTCCCCCCACAGGAGCCCATTCAGTATGAATTCACCCACCAGGGATGTTGATTTCCCCAAGATACATCCACCTTCAATACGCCAGTGACTGTGGACTAGGTCTTGAAAATTCTACATCCAAAATCTAACATCAATCCAGTCTCAAGAGACCCATTGCTGAGAGACCTAACTCAATCTCCATAGATTAACAACCTCTTCATGAGGGTGGTAGCCCCCATAACCCAATACCCTTTAAAGGCTCCATTACCTCATTATCAGTCTATCTGAAATTTCAACATGAACTGGGAAGATGGCTCAGATGATAAAGTGCTTGTCACAAAAGCATAAGGGCCTGATTCCAATCTCCAGACTCTGTCTGTGTGTGTGTGTGTGTGTGTGTGTGAGAGAGAGAGAGAGAGAGTCCAATCTCCAGACTCTGTGTGTGTGTGTGTGTGTGTGTGTGTGTGTGAGAGAGAGAGAGAGAGAGAGAGAGAGAGAGAGAGAGTGTGAGTGTGCGAGTGTGTATGCAAAGGGAAGCATTGTACGTGCTCATGTACACACGTGTGTGTGTACATATGGGTCAGGCATAATCTGTGCAGGAAAGCTAACTGGAAAGACATCTGGGACTCTCTGAGGCAGAAGTATCTGCCAATCTTTTCTCTGAGCTGCATTTTGTTTTCACTCCTCCCATTCCTGTGGACATGTGTGAGTTGGGGAACAAGGGCACAAGCTGACTGAGTGGGAGATCTCTCAGGTGACCATCTACCAAGTGCTCTTGGGGCACCCAGCCAGTGTCTGATAAATTCTCAGGAAGTAAGACTCCTGAGAAGAAACAGAAGGAAAGCAGTGGGGTAGAGTTCCAAGAGACTGAAAATACAGAATAAACACAGGAAAGTGGTTCCAAGTCACCAAAGGAGATCGCATGGAGGGAAATAAAGCGGAGGGTGGCTGTGGACCCCAGTCCTGATGCAAGTCCTACCTGGAGCCTGCTGCAAGTCCTGCCTGGAGCCCAGGTGTGTACACGGGCAGGCACTCCACAGCCAAGTGTTGGGAGTGTGTATGCACACACACTTGTACGTGCTCATGTACACACGTGTGTGTGTACATATGGGTCAGGCATAATCTGTGCAGGAAAGCTAACTGGAAAGACATCTGGGACTCTCTGAGGCAGAAGTATCTGCCAATCTTTTCTCTGACCCACATTTTGTTTTCACTCCTCCCATTCCTGTGGACATGTGTGAGTTGGGGAACAAGGGCACAAGCTGACTGAGTGGGAGATCTCTCAGGTGACCATCTACCAAGTGCTCTTGGGGCACCCAGCCAGTGTCTGATAAATTCTCAGGAAGTAAGACTCCTGAGAAGAAACAGAAGGAAAGCAGTGGGGTAGAGTTCCAAGAGATCTGAGCACTGTTGGCATTGGCTCGGCTGGATGGCCTTATGGGATGGCGAGGCAACAGAAAGCAAACTGTGACAAGTAGGGAATCAGGGGGCAAACTTGTGGCAGTGGTGAGTTCCAGGTGTGACAAGTGGGGAAGCAAGGAGTAAGTTTGTGGCAGTGATGAGGGTTTCTGCCTGTAGGACCTGGGTTGATCTTCATCATCTACCCTGAGGCAATTGCCACACTCCCGCTTTCCTCGGCCTGGGCTGCTGTCTTCTTCCTCATGCTGCTCACTCTGGGTATCGACAGTGCTGTGAGTAATGCATACCCCAAGGCTCCACAGCTATCCCTCGTTGTTGGCCTGTTCCTGGGGATGCTGCCCCTGTGGAGCTAGGCATGACCCCAAACAGTTCCTCAAACCTCACTTAGCACAGAGCCTATGCATCAGGTTCAGACATCACAATGACCCTCTCTGGACCTGAGTGGTAGTGGTTGAAATGTAACTTACCCACCTCTTCCATAATCCAGTATCGGGGTCTGAACACACCAGTAATCAAAGGGTTGGCCCATAATAGCAGAGTGATCGGCCACCCCTGCACAGCAATGCCTTCCCTGACCTCTGGACTCCCTTATGATGGATAGAGGCTAGCTGTAGCCCAGGCTGGGCCTTGGAAACTCTTTTCAGCCCCCCTGATGTCCACCTCAAAGGGGCTAAAGCCAATGAGCTCTCTTAGATTCCTTCATTCCTGTCAACTGCTAAAGACCATTTACTGAGTCCTAATATCAGCTTTGGGCTGTCTCATGCCATTTACCCACCCTGACAGCTTGGCAATTGTATGCTTTCTGGAAAGCCTGAACCAGGAATCCCTTTTTCCAAGAACACGGATCTCATTATGCCACAGCCCTCACCTCCATCTTACACCCAACTAGTAGCCCATGAGTTTCTTTTCTTGTATCCAAGAAGGCACACTCATGAGCATTGCGTAAAAATCACAGGCTCTACCTAGCTAGTCCCATTGTGATGCAACTTGGGGACAGTTCCAGTGCCAATCCTGGGACTGTGCTTGAGGAAGGGACATCTTGTTTTGGTCATACATTGACCCCATCACTCTCATAAGACTTTCAGCCACTTGGCACTTCATAGGCCCAGGGACTTCAAGGTGACTGTGGCCGCCCTCCATAGAATCTTCCTGAGGCCTATGTCCACAGGGGAGCCTCATCAAGGCCTCTTCTTGTCTTTCCCCAAGTCTGCTGTACATTCCCTTCTTCACACCCACCCAGAGTATACACTCACTAAACGGTTAGTGTCAACTACCATTCTCTGTGTCCCGCAGATGGGCGGCATGGAGTCTGTGATCACTGGGCTTGTTGATGAGTTCCAGCTACTACATCGGCACCGAGAGCTCTTCACTCTTGGCATTGTCCTGGCCACCTTCCTGCTGTCTCTCTTCTGCGTCACCAACGTATGTAGTGGCCTGCTCCTGTCCTGTCAGCCCTGGTGCCTGGCAGCGCAGCTGGTGCCATGGGAACAGACACACTTCATCATTTCTAAGAAGCTCCATCCTCTCCCTCAAGTAAACCTACTTCCCTGTAGAAACAAGCAGGGCAAACACAGATCTGGAACCTAGTCCCAGAGAGAATTCAGCGCTGGGACAGCATCCAGAATGCGCCTTATACTGAGCCTGTCTTCCTGGGGGTGGAGGGAGGCTGGAAAGTGGCAGAGGCCTGTCTGTGATGTCTTGGCCACTTTTGCATGGCAGATGCCACCAAGCTTGGCATTTGAGTGTCTCTGCCCCTTCTTACCTACAGGGTGAACCCACAGGGTGGGCTACCTTTTAGGGAAAATACTTTGATGTCCCCAAGCTCATCGGGAGCTCATTCTCTTCCAGGGTGGCATCTATGTATTCACACTGCTGGACCATTTTGCAGCGGGCACGTCCATTCTCTTTGGTGTGCTCATTGAAACCATTGGGGTGGCCTGGTTCTATGGTAAGTCTTGGTGGTCAGACCAGCACTGTGACATCAGTGTGTCAGCTAAGCTAATGTCTTCTGGCAAAACCACTTTGAAAAGAGGCATTTGGGCTCCACTGGACTCCAGAAGTTTAAGTCATGCCTTTCATGGCATCACAGGGTATGTGGTAAGGGTCTGTCTACTGGATGAAGAAGACAGCAAAGTGACTCCCTGGTAAGCTATGTTGTAGTCAGAGATGTTCAGAGAGGTTGTGTTGTGTGGGAGAGTAAGGCTGATTGGACACTGGGCCCTTCATAACTAACTGGCAAAAGGTAAATACGCCATCCAGCTAGCCAGGACCCTACCAACAAGCACAGAATAGCTTCAGCTCCATCTGGCCAGAGTCTGGCCTACCTGTCATTGTAGAGTCCTCGATCATACAGTTCAGTTGGTCTGTGAGAGGGACGTCAAACCATGGCCACTTCCCAGGGGTGCATCTCACACCAAGTTGCTTGAGCATAAGTTAGAACCATAGGTCCTCCTGTGAGAATAGCTCATCAGCTAGTTACATGCTAAGAGTCCCTGGGGGTCTGAAGCTTGCTGGAGGTAGGACCTGAGCTGCAGAATCTTGGGGACATCACGTACTTGATGTCTGGGGTCTACTCTTTCCCACCCACCCTAGTCTTCTAATGGTGTCCTGAGAACTGGCTGGAGCTCTAAGCAGGAGACTTTGATCAGAGCTCTAGTCAGAGACTTTCTGGTGAGACTACAGTGTCTGCTGAGCTTTTTAAAGCTAGGAACCCCACTGCAGTCACATGAGCCAGAGACCAGGCCAGAAGTGGGTGAAGGGAGTCACTGTGAAGATCTCCTTGCCAATTCCTGATTAAGATAAGCTGAATAATACTGCTGAAAGGAGGATGTTTCTAGAGAGTACTGCTGGGAGAAATGCCAGTTATTAAATGTCTAGAGACAACTTTAAATTAAAAGCATTACACATACACACACACACACACACACACACACACAGAAGGAAAAAGAGAGAGAGAGAGAGAGAGAGATTCAGCTTTTAAAAAGGAAGAGATGCTGGCGCATGCTCCAACATGGATGACAATGACATATGTGCTAACTGAAGCAAGCAAGTCCCCAAAGTACATATGCTGTGATGCCACCTACATACTATCCCTCAAGGGACCAAGTCCCTAGAAGCAAAGTGGAATGCTAAATGTTGGGGGTAGGAGTTGGCATTGAATGGACAGAGTCTCAGTTGGGGAAGATGAGAAAACCCTGAAGATGAAAGGTAGCAATGCAGCCACTGAGCTGACCGTCAAAATAGTAAGTTTTGTGTTGGATGTGTTGCCACAGTGTTTGCCAAGTGGGAAATTACTACTTGCAGAAGGAGGTAGGGAGGCTGTAGGACCTGGAGAAGGAGCAGCAGCAGGGTAGGGTTGGAGTACAGCTGGGCCCTCAACTCACCCAGCAGACCACAGGCCTCTTTAAAGCATCATCAGAGTCAATTAGCACATCGCTGGACAGAATTGGGGATATGAAGTTTGAGAGGTGAGGCCCCTAGTGTCACCTATGTAAGTTCAGTTTCATCACCAGTTCACAGCTATATCTCTTCCCCCTTAGGTGTCCAGCAATTCAGTGATGACATCAAGCAGATGACAGGCCAGAGGCCCAACCTGTACTGGCGGCTCTGCTGGAAGTTGGTCAGCCCCTGCTTCCTTCTGGTAAGAACCATAGGTCCTAACACTCCCTGCCCCTGCCCTTGAATCCATCCTGATGCCTTGAGATCACTGAGAAAGATGTCAGAGAGCTCACCTGTCTTCATGCAGCAATTAACATGTGTGATGTGTGACATATGTAGCTATACAAGCCAGCTCACAGCCCTCTGCAGCCTGAGGGGAACTCTTGCACCTACTCAGTTGGTCATAGGTAGAATGCCACCGGTATCAATAGCCAGGGGGACCTTCCTGGGAACCGTCACCTGTCTTCTTGTCTGGCTTCTTGTCTCTGCCTGGAATAGTTGATTCTTTTTAAACTATCCTATCTCTGTCTTCTCCCTGTTAACAAGCCCCCTCCCCAGTATGAAAGAGCTGGCCCTGATCTTAGGAGACACAGTGAAGTCTTTGAGTTTCATTCTACATTGGTTTAAAGTATAAGATAAAACTTATAAATTATGCTAGACAGTTCATTCTACCAATTTCATGTAAGCATCATTTCTGCAATCTTAAACCTAATTTTTAAACCCATTCCATATAAAGTTATGACCTTAGCAGGAAAAAAATGTTAACCTCATGTTTCTCTAAGTCACTGTGATATCATCTGGCCACAGCAGACAGTGCACACCACAGACGTGGTATTACATGACCTCTGCAGCAGATCGCACTACTAAAAAAAATTCATCATATCAAAATAAACTTACATGTAGGAGTGTGGCTTTGGAAAACACAGTGCTTTCTAGGAAATGTGTCATCTGTTTAAAAAAAGAAAGAAAACAAGTGTGAGATGTGTGTGTCCAAATGTATTTTCCAAGTTGATGTGGTTGGACAGTAAACTGACACACATTGCACACGCAGACAAATAGGTATGCATAGTCAGTCACATATGTGGTGTGAACACACGTGCACACCTCAAAAATACACAACAAGTGAGGATTTGCACCGAAAAATCCATCCTACTGCACACCTGCTGGACTTGCTGTTTAGGAAGGGCTACTGTGTCCAGGTACAAAGAACATATATAAGTTCACGTGTAGGTACAAAGTACAGGTGTAGCATTAAGCACATGTTTAGGCATACTGTACACATGCAAGCATAGGATGTAAATACATAATTCATGCATTGGTGTGCAGTATAGGCACAAGCAGTCTGGTAGGCACACATGTAAGCACACGTATGTATAGGAATGAAGTACATGTATAGTTGCAAAGCATATGTGTAGGTATACCATTGGTGCCCTAGGAAGATGTTGTATTGTTTGGGCCAGGCCCAGGTAGACTGGTTGGGGTTGGAACTTGTGGCTTGTGTGGCTAGGAGACCACTTGTTGATTTTTCTCCTCTATCTTCACACCTACCTTTGTGCCTGACCTCTGTGCCCTTTTTTTCAGTATGTGGTTGTGGTCAGCATTGTGACCTTCAGACCCCCACACTATGGAGACTACATCTTCCCAGACTGGGCCAATGCACTGGGCTGGATCATTGCCACATCCTCCATGGCCATGGTGCCCATTTATGCCACCTATAAGTTCTGCAGCCTGCCAGGGTCCTTCAGAGAGGTGGGTGCTTTCAAGGGGACTCTTCACCCTAATGGTTCAGGTGTTTCCCCATCCCTGAACTGTCTCAGCCAGCAGGAGGCGGGAGGTGGGACCATGATGGGATAAAGTGTTGTTCCAACAGAAAGGAGGGGAATGTATTTGTATGCCATATTTGTGTTTGTGTGTGCTGGTGTCCCCACACACGTGGCCGTGTGTGTGTGTGTGTGTGTGTGTGTGTGTGTGTGTGTGTGTGAAAACTCGTGCATGCACATGTGTTCACACCACATATGTGACTAACTATGCATCCCTGTTTGTGTATGCAATGGGTGCCGGTGTATCTATGTGATTTGCCTCTGTTCATCCATGTGTCTGGGTGATACCAGTCTATTTTTACATGTCCTGTTTGACCCTCCTGGAAGAATAAGAACTTATATGAGTGGACTAATAGTTCCCAGAGACCATCCTACACTCAAGTTTCAGGGGATCCTGACTGAGCAGCAAAGTCCTTTATACCTGTGGGGCCCAAGGACTCCATCTTGGAGCCAATGTGTCCCTTGGTGCTGGATACTGTCACAGGTCCCTCATCTTATAGGCTGGCACTCAGAGGTCCCTCATCAGTCACGCTGTACTGGGTCTAGTATGTGGTCAGAGCACAGCCTTTCTGATGCCAAACTTAGAAGTAGTTGGAGCTGCCAGTGTCCAACTGAGAATCAAAGACAATCCCAGGGCCTGAAGTCTATTCTGGAGGCCCAGGTGACATCTAGGCTCTAAGAACAGACAAGTAGATGGAAGCAATATTTCCTGTAGAGGGCAAGTAACAGATGCTGAGGGACCTGCATGCATCCACTGAGAGACAGAACTCTCCACTAGCACTGTACCCACCGTACATCAGAGTGTTGTTGGTTTGCTCTCACTCAGAGCTAAGGACCTGAGGCTGTGGCTCCTGAGCCTGATTCTTTTGGGGGAAGTCCTCATTGTTATAGTGGGTGCTGGCTGGTCTGTGCCAACCTGGGCCCCATGCCGTACCAATAACCCCATTCTCTCTTAGAAACTGGCCTATGCCATCACGCCTGAGAAAGACCGCCAGCTAGTGGACAGAGGGGAGGTGCGCCAATTCACGGTGAGTCTGACACCCTATTCAACCCTCAGGAGAGGAACCAGAGAGACTTGAATAGTATCCTCTAACTACTGCAACACTCATAGTACCCACAGCTGCTCTTACAGCCCCAGAAGACTAGGAAGCTCTGTATAGAAAAGCATTTGCCAACACCAGGAGATCCTCGATGCTGGCCAAGGCTACCCAGAAGCCCTAGATTGTGGGCAGGGCAGCCAGAAAGTAGAAGTTGCCCATGGAGATGAGCAGCCAGGGTGACACTGGCAGGGATGGCTGCATGAGGGGAAGAGCCCTGTGGGTGCAAATGTGAGAGTTCTTAGGATCTATGCCCTCCATTCTTGGAGAGGTGACAAGAAAATGATCACGGGGCAGAGGGCCTGAAGTAACTCGGGAAGCAGAGCCAGGAGGACTGGAAAAGCTTGGAGTTAGTCAGCTGTCCATCGGGGTACCTGAAGGCAGGGAGGCCAAACTGAGCAAGAGTGGAGTGAAGCCTGGTCAGGAGACTGAGGCTGTCCATGGAAGAAGCAGGCAGGCTGGGAGGCACCAGTGAAAGAGAAGGATCCCTCAGGCCTCTAGGTTCACTTCTTTCCTCTCTCTTTGAGAGCCAGGTGAGTTCTTGTGCCACACAGACAGGTGAAATGTGTTGTGAGCCTGCATGTTGTTCAGAGGCTATTCCTCCTCTAGCAATGTTCCAGTGGTGAATATAGCTGCACCTGCTATCTCTGGCTTCTGTACGACCATCCTTTCACTTTCTCAGTGGTCTTAAGACTTAGGTATCTTTTGCAACACTAACAAATGCCTCAAGTTTCACCCTGATGATCTGACTGGGCTGACTGAGCCACTCACAGATAGGGGAGCTTCCTCTTACTCCCTTTAACTGTTTGTCCTGTTTTCTGCTTGTTTTCCTCCTCGTTGCCTCTTTGTTAGTTGAGCTTTTTGCTTTTCTTTACTCCACTCATCTGTTTCCACTTGCTTGGAACCTGTGCATTTTAATTCTTTAAATAGTTATCTTTGAGGGAGACACGTATTTCCCTCAAAGTCCAAAGTTAATATCTCAGCTCGCCCTTTGAACATGAATTACAATGACTTAAACCATGCTACCGGTTGCCAAGTCATTGTCCTATGTTCCGTGCCCTTCTTTCTAAACCACAAGTTAGACATTGCTGCTGTGGGTTTACAGTATTATTGCTTTGGGTGAACCATGCCCTGGGGTTCACCTGTACTTGCTGTTCATGGCATCACCACATTTCTGGTGTGCATTTTTCCTTCCAGGAGCATTTTCTGGGTTCTCAGAAACAAATCCTTGAGACATCTCCTTAATGATCTCGCACAACAAACTCCCCACCTTCAGGTGTCTAAACTTTCATGGTGCCAGTGCCCTGAAAGCTCTCAGTCCCCCAGTCCTAAGGGCCTTACACAGCTGTGCTTTCAAATCCTTCTTCAGTCTTCTGTATTGCTTCTGGACTCGAGGATGTATGCCTGGGTCCTTTGGGACTCCTATTTACACTTGGATGCTTTCCATATTTGGACTTCAGGGGCACAGTTGCACAGTGGCTGTAGTCACTGGTCCAAACATTATCTGATCACTCCCTGAATTTTCCTCACTGTCCTTTGGATGCTTTGTGATGTAAACCCCTGCCAATGCTTTTGTGCTTACTGAATCACTGGGAACTTCCTCTGCCCTTATTGATCCACCCACTCATTTTAAAATCAATCAATGTTTTTCTGGAGTGTGTAATCTTCTGTGAACCTTTGTGGAAAGCTTACCCTCTTGCGTGTCACAGTTTCTTCTTTTGAGGTTCGTTTTGGGGTCTTTTTATATATTCTATGCCTCCTCTTAACTTTTTTCTTTTGAGCAAACATATAGTGAGATTATCTGAGGTTTGAACCTTTCTGTCAGTTGGAATCAGTGTCAGGCTTTGCTCACCAGGGCTTTTTTTTTTTTTAAATCTTGCTTTTTGTTTCTGGTAAAGTTTAATCGTAACCAAGGTATGTGGCTTTTTTCTTATTGCATCCTAGATAACTTTTAACGTGTGTGTGTGTGTGTGTGTGTGTGTGTGTGTGTGTGTGTGTGTGTGTGTGTGTGTGGGGGGGGGGGAAAAACATCCAGGACCACACCTGACATTTCTACACAGATTCCTGGGATTGAACACAGGTCCTCATGCTGGCAAAGCAAGCACTTTGCCAACTGAGCCCCCTCCCAGACCCCTATATGTGGGATGTTTTGTTTTGTTATTTTTGTTTTAGACAGGGTTTCACTATGTAACTCTGCTGGTCTAGAACTTGCTATACAGACCAGGCTGGTCTTAAACTCACTGAGATACACCTGCTTCAGCTTTCTGGATGCTGGCATTAAAGAAATGTGCCACCACACCTGGCTGAATATTTTCAGCACCTTTAAATATTCTTGGAGCTCCTTGGATCTTTGGAGGTGTGCTTTTTAAGATCTGTTGGGTGGATCCCAAGGGGCATTGACATTTATCTGTCTCTGTGCCGCAACATAGATCAGGGTTAGAGGGTTTCCAACCCAGCTGCAGGAACAGGCACTGATCCAGTCCCACACATGCCTCAGTGCCAGTTCCCATGCCCTGTCACATGTGTCTCTGGGTGTCTCATGTATTGCTCAGGACTCAGCCTGTCTCTATGGGTGCTCTTTGCCACTCTCTCCTGCCATCTCCAGCCACAGAGGTCCTTCACATTCCAGGGATTTCTCTGGGCTCTCACTCCACTCTGAAACCCAGAGGCCCTCAAGGCAGCAGGCTGGGTGGCTGCCTCGTTCATTCTTCCTGGGGGTATCACTTAACCATGGCCATCTTATGTCCAGTGTCTTGCACCTGTGGTGTTCATCTGGGGATGTTTCAGATGGCAAATTCAGCCTTGTTGTTGCCCTTCCATCAGAAATCTGTGACTCTGGTCCATCCACATTGCCTGTTCAATAATATTCCATTATGTCAGCAGCCCATAATTTAGCCCTTTCTCCCTAATCATATCCACTCCTCTAGTAGCTATGTTTTGAGCCTCATTTGCTCTAGTAAAACATACATCTCTGGACTCGCACATGTCAGTCTCTTTTTCTAGTATCCCACACATAACTGTTATATTGTGCCAACTACAACATCTCCGGTCCTGGACTCTGAACTCTAGGTTCTAGGTTCTGGTTCTTGATGATCCTTGCTCAGAGCTCTGTGTTCCAGTTTTTTGAAAAAGTAAGTCACCCTGTGCCCTCCTTTCTCTAAGTATCACCTAATGACCTGGTTCTGTTGGTGACAAGGACAGGGCAAGTGGGGGTGAGACTGTCCCCAGAACTGTTGCACTTGAACAGAATTCTGTGTTCTGGTGGTCCTCTGTGTACCTTCAGTCAGAATTCCATTTATTTTCTGACAGCTTGCCACACTAGCCCAGTGCCTATGCTGGCCTAACCTGCAGACTGCCTTAGGCCCTGCCCACCTCGGGCCATGCTGTGACATGTTCAGACCAGGACCAAAGAATCCCCAAAGAGCCATTTGAGAGGATGCCAAAGAGATTATCCTATGGCAGCAATGGCCGTGGCCTCTCTCCTATCTCTGGCTCAATGTGGCAAACAATAATCTTAAGAGTCTTGTTTGGAAAACATTTGACAGCACAGAACTCTCCAGTCAGTGAGTCTCGGCAGATGTCTCATGATCACAAACGAGTTGAGCAAGCAGCAGAACAGCAGGATGCTGGTCTCAATCCCCAAACTATCCTTGCTGCTCTCTATTTGCACCTGGACCACGCCCAGCAAAACAGGCTTCAGAGTGCAGCACCTCTTGGGATGGACCTGACAGAGTTTCAGCATGCAGGGGAGAAGGACACTGCTGGGCCACTCACAAAGGAGTAGGTGGATATGGAGCTATCTCTGGGTCTAAAGTTGTCCTGCCAATCTCACCTCAACTACTGGTTACAAATATGCTGGCCAGTCCTCTGGCCTTCTAAGCAACTGAGATCCACAGGTGTGGTTATTTATTGTTATGCTGGCTGTTTTATTTTTCTTTATTCTGCCTTTTTTCTTTTGTTGAGACAGAATCTCACTGTAGCCCAGGCCAGCTTCAAACAATCCTCCTGCTTCAGCCTCCTGAGTGTTGTGATTACAGGCGTTAGCCACTGCTCCTAGCCACTGCTCCATGTCTCCTTTTCATTGAGTAATTCAGTACTTAAAAGTTTACACCAGACCATTGGCTCTTGGTACCCCTCAAGATTGGCATCCATCAGTGGTAAGCAGCCCAGGGGTGAGCGGTGCCATCTGTTGACTTGCTGAATCAATCCTGACTTCATCATAAGGCCACAATCTTGAGGTAAGCAGCCCAGGGGTGAGCAGTGCCATCTGTTGACTTGCTGAATCAATCCTGACTTCATCATAAGGCCACCAGCCCGTAAGTGATGGTTCTAATGTCTATTCCTCACATCTGAATAAATGGTGCTTTCTTTCCAGCTGCGCCATTGGCTGTTGGTGTAAAGTGGAAGGAGACAGCAGCCAAGTGAGCCATCTCACAACAGCAGGGACAGGGAGCTCACTAAAGGAAACCCAAGCACCAAGAAAGAAGGGCCGCTTCCACCCTTCCCCTTTGCCGTATGGAAAAATAATCAGAGCATGGGCTTCGATCTTTGACTGTTCACACCCAATCCATGCTACAAAAAAAAAAGCCTCTGTCTGTATGTGGCTGAAAGAACACACATCTCTATACATTGAGGTCAACCATGTCCCTTGTCCCTACAGAATGGGAAACAACTGGCTGGTATCCTGTCCCTGCAAGGCTGACTCCCCATCTGTGGTTGCCCTGGGAAAACAGGTCTTAATGTCCCCTGCACTCCAGGAGAGGGACCTTGGTACTTGTATATACACTGTGCCAGAATCCTTGTGCTTGCAATAGCTGCCTAGATCATTTCTTTTGCTCAAATTTACAATGTCCAGCATCCTGTTTTGTCTGCTGCATAGAAGGTAGAAAAAACAGTCAATACAAGGCCAAGTGCTTTCCTGGTGCTTGGCTCTGAGCAGACACCGTGACCTTAGCATCCTGTTCACACACACACACACACACACACACACACACACACACACACACGGTATGTTCTGAGCCATGGAGGACAAGGGACTTGTGGTGAAAGTGACCACAGAGTCTGGTTTTTTTTTCCTTTATAGCTGAGCTAAATAGACATGAAATAAGGTTGGGATACAACCCCTACTCCTGGCCCCTGGGAGGCCTGCTCAGCTTGTGGTCACTTCAGTATGGAACTCCAGGCCACAGAGAAAGTGTGCTCCTCATAGCCAATGTGGCCCAACCCCTGGACACCTACACTACACAGGGGTCCCAAAGCAAACAATCATATTCTTGGCCTGGAGCCCTGTCTGACCTTTTGGTTTGATTTCCTAGAGTCTCCCATCACATCAGTGGACATTATCCATGTTATAAATGGCTTTTTAAAAAATCATTTATGTGTGAATCAAAATTACTCTCAAAATGCAAGGTTAGTTTGTCCATACCTGTTTGCCAATGTCCCTGTTTCTGTTTACAAGAGTAATTAGCAATACCATAGGAAGAAGGTAGACCAAGAACCACCTTCCCACAGAGTGCTGGCTTTAGTCCCTGGAGTGAAAAGCGGGTGTCATGATTTTCCTTTGAGCTAATAAATATGAACTTTGGCCTGGCCTGTATCCAGTGGAAATGGTACCATATGTCTGTCTGAGAGAGCCAAACTTAGGCATCCTCTGCAAATAGACATTGGCATGAGGGACTTGAGTGTGCTGCCAGGTGGAAATACAGGGCTGTGGGCTTCAAGACTGCAGTGTGGCTGAGATGAATCCGGTTTCCTATCTTCTCTCTGAAGAGTTACTCCGCGTAGAAATCCAGGTGTTGTCAGCATCTGTTTTTGTCTCCATAGTCAGTACCTTGTATGAGTCCTTACAAACAATAAAAGAAATACATGTTGGAAACAGACTCATCTGTGTGTTTCTTGGCTGTTATCATGTATAGCATCCAGCTTACCTGCTCATACATGGGGAGGAGAGGTGGATCCAGCTTCCCCAGAGAGAACTTTTCATCCAAATACCCCTCAGCCTGTCCCCTACCCCACTTTACATCCCCCCTGCACCTCTGTACCTGCTTCTCCCAAGCCTGGAGTAAGTCCATATGTGGGACTTCCTCACAGGTGTGCTAGCTATAGTATTGACCCTGGTCCAGGCCCATACCCCTGTGATGTATGTGACACTCACTTTGGTACTGACCTGCTCATTTAGTAGGGCAGGTTGTCTTCCTGCCCACCTTCCTCCTCTCCCATCAGTTGCTATTTAGTAGGGCAGGTTGTCTTCCTGCCCACCTTCCTCCTCTCCCATCAGCAACCTGTCAGTTCTCTCCACATCCAGACTCAGGCCCCTGGCCCAACCATGACAGCTGTCTGAGATCCCCTTTCAGAGACAAACCCCAGGATCTTCTGAGTGGGCCTCTAGGTTCTCCATTTTATTCTGTGGCTGGAGGCTGTCCTTGGACTTCGGGAGGCCTAGCCACACCTGAAGGAAACCTCCATCAGTCTCCTTATGCTTGGTTTAGTGCAATATCCTTAGTGTGACTTGTGACAAGTCATGCAGTCATCAACACCATGACAATACAATAGTCTCCCTATAACCTAGGATAGAACAAGAACTTCCATCCATATGACCACTGCCAGATCCTAACAGAACAACCTCACTTCCTTCAGGTTTTAGTCCTCTGAAAAATGATTGAAGAATCCACCTTGACCCCAGATCCACATAGTGAGCAAAAGTCTTACTGCCAAGGCCTACTGCCTGTGACAAAATGCTAGCCATAGCAGCCTCAAGTGTGGTAGATCAACATCCTGGATAATTGTGGCCACTGTAATGCAAGCCATGCTGTAGCTATACATGCAGCTGTGCATACTCAGGAGCTTGCAAAGCAGTGCACTAGCCAATGCCTGTGGCTCAGGACATACACGGGGCTGGGACTACTCACCATCTCCCCTTCCTAGCCTCCAGCTTTTGGCTGATCATACTATGTCCTGCACAGTGCAAGAGAAGAAGGCATGAGGGCCAAGTGGGAGCCAAAGCTCTCAGAGATGAGTGATATGATCAAGCACCTTGAAAAAACACAGGGAACTCCATGTAGATGATGCCCCAGGACTGAGGCAGCCACTACACCACATTCCTGGAACCATTAACTGCTCTGCCAAGCTTTATGGTAGTCCAAACCTAGAAAGAGCTGTGCAGAACATCAGTGACTACAGACTGACTTGCCTAGTGCTCACTACAACACATGATTCAGAAAATGTCCTAAGGAGAAAGAGAGTGGGAAGTGTATGCTTGAAACATGTAAAGACCTCTTACAAATCAATAAAATGGTGGTTCTTTGAGGAAGCAGACAAAAATCATGAGTGGGTACTAAGTGATTCATCTTTTATTACTGCAGCAAACACCCGAGAAAACCAGCTCATAAGGAGAAAGGGATTGTTTCACTCATGGCTTTGGAGATTCCAATCCATGACTGGTTGGTCCTATTCGCTTGGGGCAGTAGTAACACAAGTATCATGGCAAGAATGAATGTCAAAATGGATCCATCATAGGATGGAACATTAAAGAGAGGAAGAACAGGAGGTTAGCATACCACAGTCCCCTTCAAGAGCATTACCCCTGACCTAACCTAAGTAACCACTAGGCTCCACTTCCTAAAGGTTCAACTACCTCCTAATAATGTAAAACTAGAAACCAAGCTTTTAATATAGAGGCACATTTGGGTACATTCCAGATCTGAACTTCAGCAGATTCACTCCAAAGGAGATTAGCTAAGTGGTCAGAATTAGAGAAAGGGGGCTAGACTCATGATCAAAGAACCATGAGGAAACCCCACAGTCCTGAAACAGTTAGCCCCTAAAAAGTCTGGCAGTGTGTATAGGTGAGGAAGAACACTGTTGCATTCTGGGTAGGAGTTTGCATCACTGTGATGGCCTGAGGGTGTGGCATCATTCAGGAAAGTTGACTTTCTAGTTGTAGGTACTATTGGAGCCTCTCCCCATGTATGGGATTTCCATCACCCATCAGCTGTGGCACACACACACACACATACACACACACACACACACACACACACACACGTGGGATTTCCATCACCCATCAGCTGTGGCACACACACACACACACACACATACACACACACACACACACACACACACACACACACACACACATTGTAGCGAACACATACACCATGGTGATGCTCTACCAGCCTACACTGTGACCTGGCCCCAGGGCCTGACTCAGGTCTAGCCTATCACCAAGCCAACCTGACCTGACATCCCTTTAGGACCAGGGTGAGTTGAACTCCACCTGAAACCATGCTTGCTCCTAGCCCCTTCATTTCCTTTTCTATTTGCTTAACTCTTTCTAATTTCCTCACAAGAGTTCCACCATGGAGTGAGAGCACAGACAGTGAGAGCACAGTGTTCAGGAATTCTCAGGAGCTCCGAACTCAGCAATGTGTATTATAATTTTTAAAAAGTAGCTTGAGAGAGAAAGACAGGGTTCAAATACAGGGTTTTTTATTAGGGGAAGGGATCACAAAAGGGGGAAGAAAAGGGGAAAGACCACCATCTGGAGACAGGAGCAGCAGGAGAGAGGAGAGAGAAAAGAGGGAAGGAGAGAGAAAGACAGAAGAACAGACAAACAAAGAGGGGGAGAGAGAGACAGAGAGAGAGAGGAAGACTGACAGGGAGAGGAAGAGTGAGAGGGAGAGAAAGATAAGGATGGGAGGTAGGCAGGGCCCCTTTAAAGGGGAGCATAGTGAATATGCACAGGTGGCACTCTTAGTAGCTGCAGCTAAGAGTGTATCCTGTCAGAACCCCAAGGACAGATGCCTGAATACTAACAATGTGTCCACCCAAGGCTGCATCATATACCCATCAATGGTCATATGTCATATCCTAGCCCTGTCATCTATCATTTTGTGTCTACCAGGGGTCATATGCCATCCTGAGTGCATCAACGATGTACCAGAGTTCTCTCTCTCTCTCTCTCTCTCTCTCTCTCTCTCTCTCTCTCTCTCCCACACACACACACACACACACACACACACACGAGTGTTCATAAAAGTCCAAACTGAGCACAGCTGATGTTAAACACATTCCTGCTTCGTATAAGAAAGAACCTTTAGTTAATGACACTGACCTATGGGGTATGGCTATAGGTTAAACTGTTGAACGACTCCCACATACCTGAAGAAGTCCTATTCCCTAATACCTATGAAGAAGGCTTTATAGATTTTTATTACATTTATTGTGTATTCATACATGTGTCAGAGAGTTACTTAAAGGAGCTGATTCTCTTCTTCTACCGTAAGAGTCCCAAGGATTGCACTCAGGCCATTAGGGTTAGGTTCCACTTGCTGAATCATCTTATTGCCCCAAAGGTGATTTAAGCAGAAGACAGATGCTATCATGGATGACCCTAATCCA